AATTGATTTGATTAATATGCGCGAGGGATATCAGCGCTCGCCCGTGTTGTTTGAAGACATGAGTGCGCGCGGCCGCGGAGGTATTTTTCTGGAGGTATACTGCCCCCACCTGGTATGGATATGGCGTATGATTTGATATTTTATCCCAGAGCGCACCTTTAAGGGAACGTTCTATTTACGTGAAGAAAACTTTCCTGGGGAACCAATAGGGAACGTTGTGGGAACCAAAAACTAACGTTCCCAGAACCTAAAATTGTTTGCTGGGATGTAGCTTGAAATTTAATTGACTATCAAATGAAATATTTCTGTCTTGTTTTCCAGTACAAATATCTTCATGAATCAACATTTACTGCAGAATAAAAACAAACTCACTTTACTTTTATTTCATTAAACTAGATTTCATATCTTCAGTCATTGATCTTCTCCGGTGAACGTGTCTTGATTTAGGAACGTTGAGATGTTTGTGCTGAAAAACCAGACAGAAACACTGAGGAAGAGTGTGTGTTGCAGTGTTTTATGGTGTGTGTGTGTGTGTGTGAGGATTCACTGATGTTCGTTCCTGTTGCATTTCCATCTTCTGTTCTGCAGACAAAAGACCCGCGAGAACCAGAGCGTCCACAACAATGATTCACTCTCTGCTCTTTTGTGTGCGTTTCCTCTATGTGTGTGTGTGTGTGTGTGTGTAGATCTGTTGACTGAAGGAAGTTTTGATTTCTGTCTCTCAGGTTGAAATCACCCTTCAGGACGTGAACGACAACCCTCCCGTCTTTCCCACGGACACACTCGACGTCACGATCCAGGAGAACATCAGCGACGGCTTCAGGATAATGCAGATCACAGCCACTGATGCAGACGAGGTACACACACACACACTCTCTCTCACACACACACACACAGGAGAACATCAGCGCCGGATTCAGGATAATGCAGATCACAGACGCAGACGAGGTACACACACACACACACACACACACACACAAAGTCAGACATCAGTCAGTAGACGAATGAAAGAGAACGCCACATGAAGCCCGTCAAGATGTGGATGATGTCATTAGCAGGCGTGTGGGAGGAGTCATTTTGGCTCCGCCTCCAGGCAGGCGTGTGGGAGGAGTTAGTTTGGCTCCACCTGTGGATAGGCATGTGGGATGGGTCAGTTTGACTCCGCCTCCAGGCAGGCGTGTGGGAGGAGTCAGTTTGGCTCCGCCTCCAGAAACACAGATGATCTGCAGCGTTTTGACATGTTTCCGCAGCGCTAGATTAACTTTAATCAAGCAGAAAAGAGGCCGACACAGTCTAACACACTGATGTTCTGAGACGCTATTCAGACTTTAGAGCTCATTTCCACTGTTGATTCCCTGAGTGAGTGTGTCGCGTGTTCGTCTCCAGATGTTTGTGTTTGAGGGCGGAGCTAAGAGACGCTGCTCAGCCAATCGATACCACAGGCTGCCATTATGCTAATGAGGTTCAAACCTTCATAGGAAGTGAGACGACTCGACTTACTAGACAAAAATCTGCATCTTTGATCTTCGAAAGTTTTTTACGTTCAGCTTTATTACACACTACATGAAAGGAAATGAGCATAAAAGGGGCACTTAAAAGCACCTTAATATATCTATTGTGTCATCTTATATTATAATAATATTTGATCTTTTTAATTATTCCGATATAAGTTGCAGGAGAAACTCATCTGGGAAATGTTTATGCTCTTGGTTATCCTCATTTCCAGCTTTTTTTGTTTTTAAATGGCAACCTTGGCACAGTGGTCAGGAATTATGGGAATTTTGTGCTCCAAAAGTCAGAAGTCTGCCACTAACAGCATGCCTGAATCCCGTCCAGGGTTATTCCTGTCCGGCTCTCCGTGCTTCCAGAGCCGGATCTGCCTCGGATGAAGCCGCACGCGTGACGGAGATCGTTCCTGTGACGCGAATGTCCGTCGGTCTGTGGTTGCTATGCTGAGGGTGTCGTGGTTGCTATGCACATTTCAACATTCATAAACATCTGTAAAAACATCCAATAGCCAAAATACAGTGTGTTCAGGAAGAACATAAAGCCATACGGTCACGTGTGTTTCAGTCCGTGTCGTTAATACACTATTATAATTTTATAGTTAGTTAATATTTTGAATTATTTTTTATTTTTTATATTAGTTTAAATGTAGTTATTCTCCAATATTTTATTTAGGTTTTCATTTATTATTTTAGATGTAGTTTTAATTATTTTTGAGTAATCTATAATAATTCATATCTAATATCTATATTTAATATTATTCATATCTTCCATTTTAATTTTAATTAAAGTATTAGTATTGTGTTTGTTTGTCATTTATGTCTCTTTTTTTTATTTATTATGGTTTTTATTCATTTTTATTTACATTTTTTTGTTATTTTAGTACTTTAAGTAAAACTAAATTAAAATGAGACTAGCTGAAATAATATAAGTGTATTTTTTTATATTTAATTGTATTTAATGTTTAATGTATTTCAAGCAAGAAAAAAGTTGTTTAATGGCACTAGTTTGAGTAATTTCCCCGTCGCGGAGAGCAAACGAGTGGCGGGATCATTCCCTCTCCGGAAGAGGCCCAGGTGGCTGATGGGAAAACCAGAGATCAGGAATCATATTCACTCGTTTTTCTTTTTTACTCTTCCTTTCTGCTTTCTTCTTTCCAGCAGATTTATGAGAGAGAGAGAGAGAGAGATTTCAGTGGAACGCCACAGTATTCAGGCTATATAATGAATGTCCACACTGCAAAAAATGCTTTTCTTACTCAGTATTTTTGTCATGTTTCCAGACAAAATATCTAAAAATTCTTAAATCAAGATGCCATTCACATATTATGTCTTGTTTTCTGGGACGAAAATCTAAATGAAGTGTGTTTCTGCGTAAAAGAAGATTATCTGCCATTGGGAGAAGAGAAATAATCTTGTTTCCGTTTGAATTGACATTATTTCTCTGACCCCAATGGCAGATCATTTTGCTTTTTTTAAGCTTTTGTTTTTTTTACCCCCCAGAAAACAGGGCATAATATCAAATGGCATCTTGATTTTAAGAATTTGGAGATATTTGGACAAAAGCACTGAGCAGGAAATTCTGTGTCTGCAGCTGCAGTTAGAGACGGCAGTGAAGGAACAGTGAAGTGCATCAGTAGCCATGTTTCCATCGACGCGTTTTTATCCGAATTAAGTGAACGCCTTATGGAAACAGTAAAATGCAATGAAATTTCATGAAAATCGACTCAAATGAAATGCGTTCGGTCTCATCGGATTTTCTCTTGATCGATATACGGCTAATGCGATAAAAGCTGATGGAAACGTTATTTACCGAATAAATAATGAATTGCGATTAAGTTTTATGCCCTTTTATGGTTGCAACACTCCAGAAGACGTTGTTTTCTCAGGTTAGTTTTGCTTGTTTTTACGTGGCTTGGTTGAATGTGGTCTGTTATTTCTAGTTAACAGACTGTGGCGTTGCTATAACACACCGTTGCCATGGACGCAGTTCAGAGACGGAACAGACTATTTTCTTTAACAGAAGCAATACTCGTTTTTAAATCAATAAACTCGTTTTTAAGTCAATATTTTGTGTCAAATTATTGATTTATTTATTTATTTGGTTGATTTATATGTAATAAGCAGGATAATATATAGCGAGGCGGTTGTTATAGCGAATACAACCAACAACCGCCTCGCATACATTATCCCATTCATATGTCGCTATCAGCTGGCACATAAGCATTATTAGCCTTCAACTTGTGAAATATTGATCATTTGTTGGTAGATGGCGCGATCCGTTTTGTCTAACAAAACTTTGTTCGCAAAAGTTCGCTTGAATGTTGTTCGATTCAGTGCGAAAATAAATGGAAACACCTTAAAATGTCTCAAATCAATTCGATATTCCAATTTGATCGCAAAACAGCATGTGACGTCATTACGTATGGTTTTTATTCGCTTTAAAGCCGTTGGATGGAAACACACTTTCACCAGCTTTATCCGCATGAGTTTTTTAACCGAACTTCAGATAATTTGATTGACAGGTGGATGGAAACATGGCTAGTGACAGGTTTGATGTGAATCACCTGCAGGTTCAGTGGTTCTGCTGTTGTGGTTCTGCTGTTGTGGTTCTGCTGTTGTGTGCGGAGACGCTCCAATCGCTCGCGGATCTTCTGCTCTTTGATGTCGAGGCGCGTCTCTTCTTTAATGTGTCTGTCTGAACTGGTATTGTCTTGTGCTGGAATGGGCACCTCACGATCTGTCACCGGCGTTATTCATGTGCCACACTGGATTGCTGCGGAGTATCAGATGTTCAGGGGATCTATTAGCTGAGCTCACAGAGGAACCGCATATCTGTCCGCTTCAAAGGCCCAACTGAGTGTCTCTCGCCCCATCTCTCTCTCTCTCTCTCGTTGGGATTGTGTTTCTCCTCTGTCAGCTGTGGACTGGAGAAACTCAACACCAGTGTGGAAATTAAATACTTTGCACTCTCACTAATTAATGCCACTGCAATCTGAAGTTCAACGTGTGACGTGATGCACTAGTTTTACTTTTACTACACGAAATATTTAAATAAGTAATTAAATGGATAATCATTAATAAAACATGAAAATAATGATAATTAAGCCTAGTTTAACTGTTATTTTTGTATTGTCAGAGCTCAAGACTTAATATCTTCAGTAAATTCGCTTCTCCAGTAACTGTGTCTTGATTTAAAGGGTTAGTTCACCCAGAAATGAAAATTCTGTCAGTATTTCCTCACCCTCATGTTGTTCCAACCCCGTAAGACCTTCGTTCATCTTCGCAACACAAATTAAGATATTTAAGATATTAAGATCGCTCCTGCATACTAGTCCATAGGCTTCTTGAGGGACTGGCTCTTGCTGTCCCCGAAAAGTCATTAAAGACATCGTTAAAATAGTCCAAGTGACTACAGGGGCTCAATCTTAACTTTATCAAACGACGAGAACACTTTTTGTGCCCAAAAATAACGACTTTATTTCAACTATTCACTTCCTTCTCCATGGGCCTGTAGTCAGTTAACGTAGTGTGATTGTGTAAAGCTACGTCACACGTAGGCTCACTATTGGCCGACGCTGGTCATGTGTGTGATGCGTGTGACGTACAATAACAGAAGCTTACGCTATTAAACTAGTAACCTGACTCGCGCAGAGGGAGAAATAAACCAATAGTTGAAATAAAGTCGTTATTTTTGTTGTTTTTTTGCGCACAAAAGTGTTCTCGTCGTTTGATAAAGTTAAGATTGAGCCCCTGTAGTCACTTGGACTATTTTAACGATGTCTTTAATGACTTTTCGAGTCATTCCCTCAAGAAGCCTATAGACTAATATACTGGAGCGATCTTAATATCTTAAATATCTTAATTTGTGTCCCGAAGATGAACGAAGGTCTTACGGGGTTGGAACAACATGAGAGTGAGTAAATACTGACAGAATTTTCATTTTTGGGTGAACTAACCCTTTAAGAATGTTAAGATATTTTGGCCGGAAAAACATATATATTTTTTTTTTTGCACTTCAAACACTGATAACTTTTCTACTCGTGATGCATAAGCACGTGATAATATTGAAGAGCCTATCAAATGCCAGTGGATGAGATCAAGCCCCGCCCCCTACATCATGTCCTGCTTGTGTAATTAGTTCCACTCATAAATCACCGTGCTGAAGCGAGTGTTTGTGTTAGGTTTGTGTATGACGGAAGTGTGTTTGTGTTCAGGGAGCGAACGCTCTGGTGACCTACGCCATCATCAGTGGAGCGGACGACAGTTTCCGCATCGACCCCGAGTCCGGCGAGCTGACGGCCACCAGGCGGCTGGACCGAGAGCGCAGGTCCAAGTACTCTCTGCTGGTGCGCGCCGACGACGGCCTGCAATCCTCGGATGTTCGGGTCAACATCACCGTCAGCGACCTCAACGATCACGCGCCCAAGTTCTCCCGCTCCGTGTACTCCTTCGACATCCCCGAGGACATGACTCCAGGTACTGGCCAGTGTTGCCAGATCTCGCCAGACAAATACGCAACTAGGCCTGTGAAAACATTTGAGTTTTTACCGTTTTCGAATGCATTCAGACGATTTCCTGATATTTAGAAGAATATCAGTAACCAGAGAGTTTCTGGTCTCATTGACTTCCATAGTATATATTTTTTTCCTACGATGGAAGTCAATGAGACCAGAAACTCTCTGGTTACTGATATTCTTCTAAATATCAGAAAATCGGCTGAATGGATTCGAAAACGGTAAAACCCAAATGTTTAACCCTGAGGGAGTTGTAAAATGAGCCTATTTCCAAAAAAAGTGGAGTTTCCCTTTATGCGACTTTACAGTAATACAAGCCTATAATAAGTGGACTTGGCAACCCTGGTACTCAGCCTCAGCTAACACACCATACACTGTAGACTCGAACAAGTTAGCAAAACTCAAATTATTTAAGGTAATCAGTTACATAATTTTTTTTAAGTTAAGAAATGTAACGTTTAAAGGGATACTTTTTTGGAAATAGGCTAATTTTACAACTTCCGCAGAGTTAATCAGTTGGGTTTTACCGTTTTCGAATGCATTCAGTCGATTTTCAGATATTTAGAAGAACATCAGTATCCAGACAGTTTCTGGTCTCATTGACTTCCATAGTAGGAAAAAAAATACATACTATGGAAGTCAATGAGACCGAAAACTGTCTGGTTACTGATATTCTTCTAAATATCAGACAGTCGGCTGAATGCATTCGAAAACGGTAAAACTGTTTGACTCTGAGGGAGTTGTAAAATGAGCCTATTTCCAAAAAAAGTGGAGTATCCCTTTAAGTAAGCAGAACTTGCAGATTTTTATTTTGTATTTGTACATTTTAATTGCTCTTAACTTGTAATATTTGAGTAAGTATTCATACAAAATTTAAGATTCTCATGTAATCTCAATTTATTTAGTAGTGAAAGCTTGGCTTGCTTATATAGCTTGTTTCTGTTTGAATTAACATTGTTTTGTTTTTTTAACCCAATGGCAGATAATTTAGTTTCTTAATTTTGATTTGTTTCCCCAGAAAATAAATTTCTTGATTTAAGAATGTTTCGATATGTGGACTAGAAACACATATGTTCAGTCCCTTATGTGTTTTCCGTTGTGTTTTCCGTTTGAGGTTCGATCGTGGCGGCGATTCTGGCCAGCGACTCGGACTCGGGCTCGAACGGCGAGATCACGTACTCCATAGAGGAGGATGACGAGGACGCCACCTTCCTCCTGAACCCCGTGACCGGCGTGTTCAACGTCACCCGCGCGCTGGACTACGAGTCGCAGCAGTTCTACATCCTGACGGTCCAGGCCCGGGACGGGGGCGGCCTGTGCTCTTCTGTCCGGGTCTACTTTAACCTGCTGGACGTCAACGATAACCGGCCCGTCTTCAACAGCTCCATGTACAGCACTTCGGTCCTGGAGAGTCTGAGTCCCGGGACATCCGTGCTCACCGTGAGCGGCAGAGACGCCGATGACGGTATGAGTTACACCAGATCTAATAGGTTGGAGATCTAGTTTTTTTTTTTTTTTATTGTATTGTATTTTTATATTTTAATTTTTATTTAATTTTATTTTTAATTTTTTTTTAATAATTTTTTTATTTTTTATTTTTTATATTATTCGCAAAGCCCAGCCGTTTAATAAACAATTATTTATAATCATAATTTGCAAAAAAAAATATTTTTTTTATTTTTTACAATATTGATGTAGTTTTCTTCAAGAGTAAATTAACTTTATTCATTTAAATCATATTTCACTTTTAGAATATTGACAATCACTAATATTATTATAGCGTTTTTTTTGTTTTTGTTGACAGTTATTAATATTGAACACGTAGTTTAGGTCATGTCTGGGTCAAGCTGAAATGAATAGAACTGTTGTTTAGAGTTATGATCCGCACGTGTTCCTGACCCCTTCGTGAGATGGTCTGGCGTATCCGTGAGGCTCGCGTCTCGTGTCTCGGACTCTGATGTGGTTACGCTGACCTACATTTGTGCCTGTGGCTTTTCTTCCTCGTTCTGCTTCCCTGCCGCACACGAGGCCGAGACATCATTGTTAGCGTTTCCTGACCCCTGACCCGTGACCTCTGACCTCGGACAGCGTTTGGGTCGGGTGTTTTGTAAACAGGCCCAGTGTGGGAAGGTGCCACGGCGTTCCACATGAGCTCCCGTCTGAACGGCATTACGGACGCTCAATTAGAGCTCATTTACTCTGAACTGAGCAGATCCATATCACACACTCGCTGTACTGTAGCATTATCAGCTTCAGCACGCCCGGACAATCACACACTCATGCTGAATGGATGACGGCCAAACCTCCAAAATACACCAAAGATATTTCTTGTAGACACTCGGTCTGTGCTGTTTTCTAGTCGAGTGTCCTTCATTTATACAGCGCTTTAATAATATAGACTGTCTTTACAGTGATAACAGGAGATTACAGGAACAGAGAGTGTTTGGGCTTTACAGCAGATCTAGAATAAAGTTATTGTCCAGATAAAGTTAGTTTTGATTGATTCACTTCCGTTGTAAAGATCATTAGCGTCCACTCACACGACACCGCTGAAAAACATACTCTTACTCAGTATTTGTGTATTATTTCCAGTCCAAATATCAAACATTTCTGAAATCAAGAAGCAGTTACTAGATGAGTAAAAGTCTTGTTTTCTGGGGAAATAAATAAAGTGTGTTTTTGCTTAAAACAGGCAAAATGATCTGCCAATGCGGTCAGAGAAATAATCTTGTTTCTGTTTGAATTAACATTATTTTACTGACCCTATTAGCAGATAATGTAGCTTTTTTTAGCATTAACTTGCTTAATTGTGATTAATTCCCAAAGAAAACAAGACATGATATCTTACAGTATGTCATTTTACTCATCTAGTAACTGCTTCTTGATTTAAGGATGTTGAGATATTTGGACTGTAAGAAAAGCATTTTTTGCGGTGTATCATCTCCGCGCAAACTTTAAAAACGCGAATATGTGTAAACGCTGACGCTGAAGGTAAACAAAAAGGTTTGATATTTACAAAAATGCTAATAACTTTTGATTGTATTAGCCTATTGTAATGAAACTGGTTTTAATAGATTCCTTGGGTTATGCCGAGAACATAGAGACCAATGATGCTGAACTTCCTATCCACCATTTTGATTTTATTTTTAAAAGTACATTTTTCGAACTCCTCCTAAATTGTTGGTCTGATTTTGCCTAAATCGAAGTGTATCATCTTCAGACCATACCAGCAAAAAGGCAAGGATTTAGTAATGACAGCGAAACATTATTTTGGTTTTACAGCAGAGGTATGACCCTTTATCAAATATGACTGTTTCTTTACTTCATTTTATTCTAAATGGTTTTAATTTACTGTATTTTATTTTTATCATAATTTTTATTTTTCATTATTTCTTATTTTTTATTCTAAACTGTTTTAATTATTCTGATTTCTTTTGATTATTTTAATTTCTTCTATGTAAAGCACTTTGAATTGCCATCGTGTATGAAATGTGCTATATAAATAAACTTGCCTTGCCTTGCCTTTATTAATCTAACAGCATGTGTGGTGTTTTTCAGGGCCGAATGCGGAGCTGCAGTACAAGATTGCGTCAGGTGACCCGCAGTCCCAGTTCACCATAACCGACACGGGCGTCTTACAAACCAAGAAGGTCTTGGACCGCGAGACTCAGTCTTTCTACAACCTGGTCATCACCGTTAACGACTTGGCTCCGCCTCCCATGACCCGCTTCACCAGCACCGCCCAGGTGTCAATCATTCTGCTGGACGTCAACGACTGCCCGCCCACCTTCACCTCGCAGTCGACGGCGTACATCCAGGAGAACACGCCGGTGGATACGGTGGTGTTCTCGGCGCTGGCCACCGACGCCGACAGCGGGCCGAACAGCTACGTGGAATATTCCCTCAAGGGGCCGTTCGGAAACAAGTTTAGCATCGGGAACATCGATGGCGGCGTGATTTTGGTTGGCGAACTGGATCGCGAAGAAATGGCGAATTACTCTTTGATAATCATGGCCACCGATAAAGGTGATCCGCCGCTTTCGTCCACGATGGAGGTCACTATGATGGTTCTGGACGTGAACGACAACACGCCGAGCTTCTCCCAGAACATCTACGACATCGAGATCGAGGAGAACACGCTCACCGGAACCGACGTCCTGCGCGTTTTCGCCAGCGACGCGGACGAGGGAACGAACGGACAGATTCGTTTTTCAATCGCCGGCGGGAACGTGAACTCCGATTTCCGGATCGACTCGGTGACGGGAGTTATTTCGGTGGCAAAGCTCCTGGATCGGGAGACGCGACCTTCGTATTCTCTGACCGTTCAGGCTTCGGATCGCGGGAGTAGCTCGCGTGTGGATCGCGCCACCGTTAACATCGTGCTTTTGGATGTGAACGACTGCTCGCCTGTGTTCGAGCTCTCGCCGTACACCGTCAGCGTGCAGGAGAACCTAGGGAACCTGCCCAACAATATCTTACAGGCAAGTACTCAGCACTTATGCAGCTTTCCTGTTGTGGAATTAAAATAAAAATGTAATTTACACACGTATAAACTCACAACTCTTCGCCGCAACCCGCCAAAATAAAAGTTCTGTTTAACTTGAAGAAATTATGACAGAATATATTACTATTGTACAGCTGAATGCACCACTCACAGTAATAAGAACAATAACAATGAATAATAATAATTTTCATTTTAACCATAAATTACATCAGTTCGTTTGGCAAAAATAAATTCATGTTTTATGCCTTAATTTGAGAACCGCTGTTTTTGATTATAAATTTGTATTAAATAAAATGTACAGAATTAAATAAAACATTTCTTTGGGCCCTAGTCTTGTAAAAAAAAAAATATGTAAATTACATTTTTATGAATTCAGTTGATTAGGCGTACTTTTTGATTATTAAAACTAAATTAAACCATTAAAATGGAATCTAGAAAGTTTTATTATTCAGGAAAAATACAATTGAATTTGGGGGGGAAAACATGCATTTCAGAGGGCCCTAAAATGCAAAACGTTTGATACATTTTTGTTTGTTGATTTCAATTAATTCTAACTTTTTTTATTAATAAAATGTAATTTAACCATTTAAATGGAATCCAGAAATATTTAGATGGGGAAAGAAAAGTAATTTGGGAAAAAATAAAACAGATTTCACAGGGCCTTCATGTGCTATCGGTATTATCATAAATATGGGTGTCCTAAGTGAGACATTGGACATCAACAGCCTCAAGTCATATTTACAACTAGGAAAGTTGTTAAAGCTCATTCACATACATTTTCCCACATCTACACTGTTTCCTCTTCACGGTCGGTTACAATCATGTATTATTTAGTTATATAAATAACCATTTGATGCATATTGCATGTATTTTACACAGTGAATGCATCATTTGTCAATGATTGGGAGGTTAAATTTGATTTAATATTGACTAAATATCTTCAATACATTCTGGCTTTTCCCAATAAATAGGCAAGAATGAACCTCGTATCGACTAAAAAGTGGCGTTTTTAAAGTGGGACTTGCATGTAAAGGCAGCGTTTGTTCGTCTCTTTAGAGCGGGCGGCTTTGGTTCTTCATGGTTTATGATTTTGCTTTCCCATGCAGAAATGCAAGAGCAGATTTCCAACACAAACCACGGTCTTGGAAATGTGACTGTAAGTGTTTGACGTCGCTGGAATGATAAATGCAGGGTGTGGATTGGCGTCCCGCTGAACGTGACGGGGTGTGACTGCAGAACGCTTTACACTGCGGATAAATGACATAATGAATGCAAACAAACTTCACCTGAGAGGGGAAATGAGCTGGAGTCATGTGTGCCAGCGCTTCAGACTCTCACGCCAGCCCTCAGAAGAGTGTAAACCAACCCGTGAGAAAGGTTTCGCTTCTAGAAAATGCAAAGAAATTGCTAAAGAAAAAACGAATCTTTCATCTGTCTTTCAGATCCGCTGCAAAAACATTTTTTTGCTTGAAAAAATTTATCCATGCCTTAAAATATCTTGAATGTAACTCGACACCCTTGCCTAATTTAGTATGCGCGGTTCTATGAATATGCAAATGAGCCCCGCCTCCACTCACTCAGAGATCCACTGGTTGACGATCACACGTTGATCTGATTGGTTACAAGGTCGTTTGTGACGTCAGAAACACCAGCGGTTTCAAAGCGTTTCAAGATTTAACTCTCGGTGTGTGTGTGTGTGTGTGTCGGCAGGTTGTGGCCCGGGACGATGACCTGGGCGCTAACGGTCAGATCACCTACACACTCTCCGGCGGGAACGAAGCCGGATCCTTCAGCCTCTCGTCCGCCGGTCAGCTGATCCTGATCCGAACACTGGACCGGGAATCTCAGGACAGATTCACGCTGGTCATCACGGCTCACGACGCTGGTAAGAGTCAGAGGTTTCCGTCGGTGCTTGCAACGCCAAGGTCGTGGGTTCGATTCCCAGGGAAAGCAAGAACTGATGATTAAGACAGACAGGACTTTTTATATGAAAGTCTCAACTTTCAAATAGAGTGCCGAAGTTACGACGTCACTCTGTACGCGGAAGTGAGTTAGCATTTTAGCACTACGGTTCCCTCGCTCTAAAGCCTATGGGATTTTGAATGCTAAATGGCCTGAAATAAGGTCTGTGGTGAACGAAGCCTCGAAATATGTTCACGTTTTGATCTACGACAGAGAACACACAGTTATAACCTGCTTGTGGGTTTTTTAAACTTTATTGTGTCTGATTGTGTTTTTTAAAATCTTTATATTGGCTTCAAAATGTATACATTTTGGATTAACTTGTAAAGATTATCTTGCTAGACAAAACGTGTAAGGGTCACAAGCCTTTGTTAAACACAGATCTTATTTTTTGCGATTTTCCAAAAGTCTATGGGGAAAATGCATTGCTTTTCGACCGAGGGAACCCATGCGCCGCTAGCTTCCGAGTTGGTCATCTATTTGGTCATTTCTTAAAGAGATGTAAAGGATAATTCTGTTTAATGTGTGACAGATCGCTCAGTTAAAGCTCCTACTAGCTCATTTATAGAGACTCACACTGGGCCGGATGCTGCGGACACACTCTGATTCAGGTGGTAGACCTGCTGAAGTGTAACCGTGATCAGATGCGTCAGTCGTTCCCTGTTTTAAACCGGTTCAGTCTTCCCACTGCGAGATCCCATCAGTGTCGCCTGCAGTTATTAGTGAATCTGTTTAAAAGTAGAGAATGTTCAGTGCATGTGTTTATCACAAACAAACGTGATTAATGCTGCAAATGTTTATCCGAGTTCGTCTCTGTTTGCGCTGTTTTCTGCCAAAGCCTCGGAGAGCAGAAACACACTCGCTAACGCTGCAGAAAGAGCCCATTGTGTCCTGATAGTGAAGTATGGGGAGCGTCTGAAGCGCTCCGGCTGAGCTTTCCTGGACCGGCTCGATGCTTTTCCCATTCCTGGGTTAGTGCTTCAGATGCGAGCCGAACGCATGCACACACACACACACACTCACACGCACACCAGACGTCGGCGCAGGAACACATTACTCCTCAGATTCTGATGTTCCTAGTGTACTTTTTCATGATCGTTTTCCCATTTTGCCACATAAAAACATGCTCTGGTGAATCATAATTATGACATAAAAATTGAAAAGTAATAATAATGAGATGAAAAGGCAAAATTCTGACTAATAATGACGCACTAAGTCATAATTATGAGATTTCGATTCGAGAAGTCGAAATTATGAGATGAAAAGTCGAAACTTATGTACATTTTAGTGTAATACTTTTGCCTTTTTAAGTCATAATTTTGATTGCCATAATTTTAGGTTTTAAAATTAGAATTTTGATTTGTATGTAATAATTTTGACATTTTAAATCATAATCTCGTTGATTGGATATAATGTCATAATTTGACTTTAAATTTTAGGTCATGATTGCAACAGGTCATGTTCAGTTTAGTTGCTAGTGCATATGTAATCATACACACACACACTTGTTTGTTGCCATGGTTACCAGATTAGTTGCACACCTGTTCCCTGTTCCTTTGATTGCCGTCTGTGTTTAAGTCCTCAGTTGTATATTGATTATTGTTTCTGCAAACGAGGTTGTTTTGTTTCAGGTATAATGTGAAAGTTACTGTGTTTACGGGCTTCACGTGCTCATGACAGATGACTCAGATTATTATTAATAACAGGATTAGTAAGTGATTTGATCAGACAGGCCTCATGTTAGCGTCTCATGCCTGTATTGCCGTGTGTTTTACTGGTGTTAGTCTTTATATTGTTCACAGTAATAAACAGGAGAATTACAGATGTGAACGTCATCACACACGAGTCAATCTGTAAAGCAGCTTTAAAAGACATTACTGAGTTGAAGTTTTCCTATAGAGTGAGTGTGTTTCTGGATCAGGATATCGATCCTGAGCTAAACACACATTCCTTCAGCTTTACTCTATTTTCCGGCTCTAGCGCCTCGACCTTTAACCTCTCGCTTTTCCTTGTCCCTAGAAATCTCCCCAATATCTTTCCATATGATCTCTCTCTCTCTCTCTGAAGGAAAGCTGGCAGCGCACCGGAGAGATCTTGGCAGGCTCCAGTCATTATTTGGAAATGTGTGTTTTTCTGCGGAGTGTGGCGGAGAGGCCAGCAGTAAAAGGTGCTTTACGAGAGAGAGAGAGAGAGAGGGAGAGAGAGAGTCCATATAAAGCAGTCACATGAGGTCTCTCTAATGTCTCAGTTGTTTCTCAGATGAGAGCGATGATGCTTTTGCTCCTCTAGATATTTCAACATGTCTCTCGTGCTCCTCATTTGTAGACTCTGTTCAAGTCATTACAGTTTCATTGCTTCTCTTAGTTAGTTTTAGAGTAACTGCGGTTTCACTGAGATTAACACCGATCTGCAATCTGATGCTCTTCCTCAAGTGTTTCTGTCTCGTTTTCCAGAACAAACATCTAAACATTATTAAATCAAGACTCGTTTACTGGAGAACAAGCCAAATGACTGAAGATATTAAGACTTGTTTAATGAAAAATGCTTCAAAATATAGTGGGAGTTTGTGTTTAAAACAAGAATAAATATCTGTCAGTGGAGGCAGAAAAATAATGTTGTTTCCCTTTGAATGAAGTTTATTTTTCTGACTCCATTGGATGATATTTGTTCTTGTTTTAAACACAAACTCACTTTATTTTGAAGCATTTTTCATTAAACAAGACTTAATATCTAAATTATAAAATGCAGTAAATTATATTTGTGCTGGAAAACAGGGCAGAAACACTGAGAAGAACATCATTTATTTGCAGTAAAATACTGATTCTGTCCAAAACACCAAACACCCCCCCCCCCCCCACACACACACACACAAACTTTCTAACCCGACCCCTAAGCCTACCCATCACACACACACACAGGGAACAGCTCATTGTTCTGGTGAGGCTCGAGGGTTAGAGCGGTTCGTCTGAGGTGATTCACCAGTTCAGCTGCGACTCATCTTGTTTTCCATCACATATATTCTTAAAACGAACGAAATGTACCCGATAAACTAAAAGAAGAAGGATTTTGGTTTAATGTCTTGTGTTCTTCTGTTCACGACACATATTATATCGGTTAATGGAACATTCTTCGCTCATTATGGGATGTTACTTTTGAATGTCCTCCGAACATTCTGAAACATTTAAAAAAACGTTAGACGGACATCCGGCTAAAACGTTTTGAGGGAAAAAGTGTTAAAAGAATGATGAATGAATAATGTTGTTACGTTTTGAGAACATTATTAAAGAGCAGATAACTATGAATGAATGTTCTATTAATGTTCCTGGAAGAATGTTTGTTCATAACTTTGAGAGAATCTGGAAATCCTGGGAATCTTGTTATCCAGGAAAGTTCTTCTAGTCTAAAGTTATTTAAGTTGTGATAGCTAATAATATCTCTGTTGAATGAAAAACAACAGACAAAAATGAACTTGTTAGACGGATTGACGGTCTGATGGTTGGACGGTTGGGCGGTTTGACAGTTTGACGGTTGGACGGTTTTGACATTTGGACGGTTTGGCGGTTGGAGGGTTTGACAGTTGAACGGTTTGACAGTTGGACCGTTTGACAGTTGGAAGGTTTGATGGTTGGATGGTCTGACAGTTGGACGGTTGGAGGGTTTGATGGTTGGACGGTTTGACGGTTGGACAGTTTGACAGTTGGACTGTTTGGACGGTTTGGACAGTTTGACAATTGGACGGTCTGACGGTTTGACAGTTGGACATTTGGACGGTTTGACAGTTGGACGGTTTGACGGTTGTAAGGTTTGACAGTTGAACGGTTTGACAGTTGGATGTTTGGACGGTTTGGCGGTTGGACGGTTTGACAGTTGAACGGTTCGACAGTTGAACGGTTTGACAGTTGGACCGCTTGACGGTTGGAAGGTTTGATGGTTGGACGGTCTGACAGTTGGACGGTTGGAGGGTTTGATGGTTGGACGGTTTGACAGTTTGACAGTCGGACTATTTGGACGGTTTGACAATTGGACGGTCTGACGGTTTGACAGTTGGACGTTTGGACGGTTTGACAGTTTGATGGTTTGACGTTTGGACGGTTTGACAGTTTGATGGTTTAACGTTTGGACGGTTTGACGGTTTGACATTTGGGCGGTTTGACAGTTGGACAGTTTGACGTTTGGACGGTTTGACGTTTGGACGGTTTGATAGTTGGACTGTTTGATGGTCTGACGTTTGGACAGTTTGACGGTTTGACGTTTGGACGTTTGACAGTTTGACGGTTTGACATTTTGACGGTTTGACAGTTGGACGTTTTGACGGTTTGACAGTTTGACATTTGGACGGTTTGACGTTTGGACGGTTTGACATTTGGACAGTTTGACAGTTGGACGGTTTGATGGTCTGACGTTTGGACTGTTTGATACTTGGATGGTTTGACGTTTTGACAGTTGGACAATTTGATGGTCTGACATTTGGACGGTTTGACAGTTGGACGTTTGAACGGTTTGACTGTTTGACGTTTGGACGTTTGGACGGTTTGACAGTTGGATGTATGGACGGTTTGACAGTTTGACGGTTTGAGAGTTTGTCGTTTGAGCGGTTTGACAGTTGGACGGTCTGACGTTTCGACAGTTTGACGTTTGGACAGTTTGACAGTTGGACGGTTTGATGGTCTGACATTTCGACGGTTTGATAGTTGTACGGTTTGACGTTTGGACGGTTTGACAGTTGGACGTTTGGAAGGTTTGACGGTTTGACAGTTGGACGTTTGGACGGTTTGACGTTTGGACGGTTTGACAGTTGGACAGTCTGATGGTTTGACGTTTCGACGGTTTGATAGTTGTACGGTTTGATGGACAGGTTTGGGTTCTGGAAGCGTTTTAATCGCTTAAAAGCCGATTCAGTGAAAGAGACAGAAAAGCCCAGAG